CATTGGTACACAATCCCCCCCGCACCTCCCCCAACCCCACCCCAACCCCAAATATAATCCACTCTGCAACCCTCATTGCATTCTCCTACAAGAAACATAATGCCCTAAAACATAATACTTTTAACTATTCTCTCCCCCGTAGACTTCAATGACATAAACATATTTCATCCAGTTTTTCTCAGTCTTACCCCCATCCCGATGCCAAAGTTGATTTTTAAGAATACAAAAGGCTGGCTTCCTCGTTCCGTACTCTTACAATAAACATAATGCCCTAAAATATAATACTTTTAAACTATTCTCTGGAGGGGGGTGGGGAGAAGGGTGCAACAATGAATGAGTGGAATTCCAAAATCTCTGTAAATGTTCATTGAAATGAAAAAGAAATAAAAAACTCTTGCAAAAAAAAAAAAAGGCTGGCTCCTGTGCAGATGCTCTGATCAGGTTCCGTGAAGAACATTGATAAGAAGTTCCCCAGGTGAGAGTGAAATGTAAGAATGCAATGAGACAAATCCCTGTTTGTGTCTGATTCCCAAGCAGGTGTTTCATGTGTAGGACAGAGAGGATGTGTTAGCTGTACTCCTACTTTTCTCCATTATGAGCCAAGCATGGAAGAATGAATGAACGCCTTTGAGTTGTGGTGCTGGAGAAGAGTACTGAGCATATGATGCACTAGTAAGAGAACAAACAGGTCTGTCCTAGAGAGGGTGAAACAGAGCTGTTCCTTGGAGAAAAGGATTTTCTGGGATTTATCTTTAGACAAAGAATGAGAGATGGAGATTTTCTGGTGGTGCCAACAACTAAGCACTCAATTACCAGGTGAAAGGGTTGGAGTTTTACCTGCCCAGGGGTACCTTAGAAGATAGGAGAGATGATCTATTTCTGAAAGGTCATCCAACCTTGACAAATCCTATGAGCAGTTCTACTCTGCATACATATGGATTGTCATAATTTGGCAACTTCCCCAGAAAATCTCCATCTCTCATTCTTTGGGTGTGATGCCAGAAGGACCAGTCCTTGGGGAAGGACATGCTTGAAAGGGTGGAGGGACAGCACACAGAGGAAGACCCTGGATGAGACAGATTGACACAGTAACTGGAGTAATGGGAGTAGGTTTGTCAGAGATAATGAAATTGGCTCAAGATAGGGCAGAGTTCAGAGCTGTTTTGCATGGGGTCAGCTGTGAGTCGCAGGTGACCCAATGGCATGTAACACAACAATGTTAAGTGCATCGATGTGTCCATCAATTTGTTAAGTAACTGATCCATGAAATTTTACGTTCTGCAATCCACAGCTTAACTCTCACCAGAGCTGCAGATGTCTTTGCAACTCTCCAAATGTACCAGTTCTTCCAGTCATGCTTCCCTAAGGGTGAAATAATCATTCTGAAAACATAGCTCTCTCTTCCTGGATATATCATCCCTCCAGACACTGGGTCACAGAGCATCTCTAAGCTTGGTGGTGAAGGTCCCCCTTCCCCAGCAGAGAGCCTGTTGTTGTTTGTCACTGAATCCAGCCAAAGTGTGACAATCCATGTGCAGAGTAGAAATGCTCATAGGATTTGTCAAGGTTGGATGACCTTTCAGAAAGAAATCATCCATCCTATCTTCTAAGCTACCCCTGGGCATGTACAAACTCCAGCCTTTACACCTGACAATTGAGTGCTTAATTGTCAGCCCCACCCCAGCTCTCCAGAGCAGAGGGCATTCAAACAACAAGTAACAACAGCAGAAAAACCCACACCTTGAACCGATTCTGACTCACAGGGACTCAACAGGAACAGAGTACAACTACCCCATAGGCTTTCCAAGGCTGTCAGTCTTTATGAAGACAAACTGCCACAACTTCCTCCCACAGAGCACCTGATCAGTCCAATCCACCACACTTTTGTTTTGCAATCAAGCACTTAACCACTGCCAGGGCTCCTTCAGCAAATCTTGTTATTTTATTAGGTGTCCTCAAGTCAACTATAAGTCATGGCAAGCCTGTGAGCAATGGATCTGAACCTTGTCCTGTCTTGTGCCATCCTCACCATCTCTGATATGCTCAGGCCCGTTGTTACCGTCACTGTGTCAGTCTAGCTAAGGAAGGACCTTCTCTTTATCTGATCTTGCATGATGTCTATTCCCAAGGACTGACCTTTCCTGATAACACGCTCCAAATATGTGAAATAAAGTTTCCTCATCCTTGCCTGTAAGGAGCGCCCAGGTTGCACTTTCTGAAAGACAGATTTGTTAGTTCTTTTGGCAGTCTGTAGGATGGATAGTCAACTGTTCGTCAGCACCAAGATTCCATTCACAGGCCTCAGCAAGTCTTTATTGGATGTTTCAAGAACCTCACCTGGGAACTTGTTATAAACACGAATTCTCTTGGCACCACCCAGACCTCATTATTGTTGTTGTATGCTCTGGGACCGACTGAATCAGAAGTTCTAGAATGAAGATAAGCAATCTATTTTAACAAGGCTCCCAGGTGATTCTGAGGAGAAAAAGGGAGAAAAGCATGGAAGAGGGGGATGAGGATAAAAGGACCTCTTTAAGGCTAATTAGCCCCCTCCTGCATCTACCCTGGCCTCTCACCTGCTTGCCTTCAGGTGCAGCAGGGTGAGACTGGGGTGAGATCCCAGGAAAAGCTCCCAGGAGGAGCGGCTGGCATGGTTGGCAACACGTAGAAAAAGGACAGTCAGGTTGAGGGGCCAAAAAGGACTGGGGCCCACGGTATGAATTTAATGGGGACCTCTCCCCATGACCCTCCAAGGAGGTCACACCTTTTCTGTGTTTGGCTCTCTTCAAGGGTGTTGGCTGGGGAGGTAGCCAGGCAATCCCACCCTCTCCAGATTTCAGTTTGATCTGACTCTTCATTCTTTAATAAGTACCTGTGTCTGTGTGTCTTCGCTCGAGCCTGGTTGTTCTGACACGGATTTTTGGTAGTAGCACTGGTATTCCAGGAGTTTGGTGGATCACTTGACTGTCAGATGCTCACTCAAGCTAGAGGCAAGGCCTCCCTCTCGGGGCTGGGCAGCCTGTCAAAGGCGCAGGGTGCAGTGCCAGCGGTGTACTGAGTGCTCCCGGCTCACAGCCTGGCGTCTTCCCTGCGGGCTGCCTTCTTCACTGCTGTCCTCCCACCCCCAGCTCCTCCTGCTCACCCGGGCAGCATGAGTAATAGCAAGAGCAGCGCTAGCAGCAGCAGCAACAGCAACAGCAGCAGCAGTAGCAGCAGCAGCAGCAGCAACAGAACTGAGAGAGCAACCTTGCTCTGGGGTAAGTTAGGTGAGAGGCTCATCCTCAGAGGAAGTCCCCCCTTGTGGATGTGCGGATGCGTGAGGACTGCGCATCTTTGCCCCTCTACCTTCTCCCTTTCTTTCCAGGCTGCGAGCTAAATCAGGACAGGCCAGTCCGGAGCTTCAAACCTCAGCAGGAGGATAAGCCAAACTGTAAGCTGTTGCTTAGTACGGTGAGTCCAGATCGCCAAGGTGAGGAAGGTTGGAGCAGAGGAATTTGACCTTCCTTCCGATAAGGAGGTAGGAGTCTCCAGGCCCAACGGGGTTTCTGCCGTCAAGATGAGGACTCTGTTTGTTTTCAACCCCTCTCAGATTTGCCTGGGGGAGAAAGCCAAAGAGGAGATGAATCTTGTGGAAATCTTGCCCATGTCCTACCAGACGAGCAAGAAGACTCCTATCACCATCGCCTCTCTTCAGGCCTCCACCCTGCCCATGGTGAGCCTTTCCCAGAAGGCGGGGAGAAAGAATGGCCCAGAAGGGGCCCAGGTGGGACACTGAGAAGGCCTCTGGGTGGGATGATCACAGCTGGGGAGCCACTGACACAGGGGAAGGACACACACACCGCAGTGGCAATGGACCCTCGAACCCAGTCAAATGAGGCCCGGCACCCCTTCCTGTGGCCCTTGCCACACTGCGCCATATGACCTCAGGCAAGTTACACCTTAAGACTTCACCTATCCTGAAAACACACATTTTAAAGCTGTTTATTGCTGGGAACAGAATGTTCTGATACTGAATGTGCGCCCAAGTTGTTTGCTCAGAAATTCTCATTACTTTTAACAACTTATTTGAAAAGAAACATTATTTATGAATAAGGGGAAAATAAATGGCTATTGTCTTTTTTTTTTTTAATCCTACTGCACTTGCTAGAACCTTCAGTGTGACGTTAGATAGTGATAATTGTAGACATCCTTCTCTCATTGCCAATATTTTAAGGGTGTTTCTCCATTATGTCTGATTTTGGTGAAGGTGAGGTTGTGATTAGGTGCCGAGTTCGTTTCTGAAGGGAGCACCTTCTCAGGCTGTACCATTTGCAAACGTGTTTCACATTATTGCAGCCCTTGGGTCAGTTCATCTCATTGAGGGTCTTCATCTTTTTTCATTGACCCTCTACCAAGCATTATATCCTTCTCCAGGGACTGGATCCTCCTGATAACAGTCTTGGCATAAGTGTAGTTATGTGTCATCAAGTCAGTTGTGACCCAGAGTGACCCTATGCACAGAGCTCTGAACACTGTCCTCCTATCCTGAGCCTGTCTCCACTGTCTCTGACATACTCACCCCCGTTACCCCAGTCACTGAGTCAATCCATCTCATCCAGGGTCTCCCTCTCTTGTGCTCTCCCTCCACTCTTCCAAGCATAATGTCCTTCTCCAAGGACATGTTGCCTCCTGGCAACATGCTCAAAGTATTTGAGACAGAGCTTCACAATTTTTGCCTCCAAAAATTTGAGTGGAAAATCAATTTCATTGTAAACTTGCACTTTGACTGCTTTCGCCCTCTGCAGGATAGACCTGTTTGTTCTCTTAGCAGTCCATGATATGTTCAATACTATTCTCCAGCACAACAATTCAAAGGCATAATTTTTCTTCTGTCATCTTTAGTTATTGTCCACTTCTCTGATACATAGCAAATAATTGCAAAGACCATGAACTGGATCAGATGCACCTTAGTCTCTAGACTGACCCTGTTGCTCTTCAGCACTTTGGAGGGGTACCTGACAGCAGATTTTCTCAATTCAATTAATCTATTGATTTCCTGGCTGCTGGTGCCAAGAGTGTTGATTGTGGAACCGAGCAAGCTGAAATTGTTAACGATCTCAATCTCTTCTGTCCTGATGTTGCCAATTGGTCCAGTGGTGAGAATCTGTTTTCCTAGTAGGTGAAATGCAGTCTATCAGGAAAGGCTTCAAACCAACTTAGCCCCTTGTTGAGAGTGCTTTTCTGCCCCAGATATTCTGAATCAGTCTACAATTTAACAAAAGCCCCTGGTGATTATGTTGCGTATACCTAGGGATCTCTAAGAATCACCTGAGTATGTTATTAAAATGTAAATTCTGATTTAATGTATATGCTTTTGGTTTGTTTTTTTCTTTCTTGTGCACCGTAGAATCAGATCCTACTGGTACAGGAGGTGATTGCCCTTCCTTCTCCAGCAGAGCATCTGGTGGATTCAAAGCATGCACCTTCGGGATTACAGTGCAGCTTCTTGCCACTACGCACCAGAGCTCCCCCAATGTATATACTATTTTTAAAAAAATATTTTTCATAGTGATTTAAGTGAAAGTTTACAATGAAATTGATTTTCCACTCAACCATGCATTTTGTATCTACATAAATATAACATCAATTACAACACCTACAATGTAATTGCACTTTTCCTCTCTATTGCTCCTTTCCATCAATCCTATCCTACCCCTACCTATAGCCCAAATCTCATTAAGAGGTGTTTCCCTAGGCTATAACACCTTTTATTTCACAAGCGCTAAAAAGGAAGTGAATTAAACTAAGAAGAGGGAGGCAACTTGAGTATCACCAAGAAATACTCTCCAGCAGTGGACCTGAGCCCCATCACTAGAAAGCTCCTTGGGAGGGCCAGGACGTGGAAGTCTCTGGAATGCCTACAGGCACCAAAGGAAACAAGGACTTTCCCCACAACCTACAGAGGGAGGGAGCAGGCCTTTCCCCTAGAGCTGGCTCCCTGAATTTGGACTTCTGGCTTCTTAAACTGTAAGAATAAGTGTTTGTTAAAGCCACCCATCTGTGGTATCTTCTGTTATAACAGCACTAGAAAACTAAGAATAGTATCCTACTTGGTTTTTCTTCACTAATGCTTTGCTTATTCAGGGATCTTTTTCCTTTTCCTATAAAGTTGGTGATTACTTTTCCCATCTCTTTGAAGAATGATGCCAGGATCTGGATAAGAATTCTATCTATAGATTGCTTTTGGAGTTATTGATATTTTCAATGTTCAAGTTTTCTCACCATTTATGTAGGTCTTTTTTGGTTCCATGGAGTAGTGTTTTGTAGTTTTCTGTGTATAGGTCTTTCACATCACTAATTAGATTTATTCCTAAGTAATCTTGTGCGTGGCTATTGTAAATGTCACTGTTTCTCCTTATTTCCTTGTCACAGTTCCCCTTTTTAAGAGGAAGCCAACTGACTGATGTATTTTGATCTTATAATTTGTCATGTTCCTGAATCTTTGACCTGTCATACTGTCAACTGTGACTCATAGCAACCCTGTGAACAACCGATCTGAACTTTGACCAATCCTATGTCATCCTCACCATCTCTGATACACTGAAGTTTGATATACTGATGTTACTGTTGTTAAGTGCTGTTGAGTCAACTACAACTCAATGTTATGTGCCATTGAGTCACCTGCGACCTTTTGTGACCTTATGTACAGCAGCTCTGAAGCCTGCCCTGTCCTGAGCCAGTCTCACTGACTCTGACACACCAACCCCTATTGCCCCAGTTACTGTATCAACCCATCTCGTCTGTGGTCTTCCTCTCCTGCGCTCTCTCTCCACCCTTCTGAGCATGATGTCCTTCTCCAAGGACTGGTCCCTCCTGGCTGCGTGAGATGGAGTTTGAAAATCCTAGCTTCCAAGGCAAAACTTGGTTTCACCCTCTCGAAGATAGACCTATTTGTTTTCTTGGCAATCCATAATATGTTCAAGACTCTTCCTCCAGCACTGCAACTCAAAGGCATCAGTTTTTCTTCTGTCATCCTTAGTCAATGTCCAGCTTTCTGATGCATAGCAAGTAATTGAGAAGATCATTGCCTGGATCAGGCACACCTTAGTCTCTAGACTGACACTGTTGCTTCTCAGTACTCTGGAGAGAGGTCCCTGACAGCAGATTTTCCCAGTGCAATTAGTCTTTTGATTTCCTGACAGCTGGTGCCAAGAGTATTGATTGTGGAGCTGAGCAAGTGGTAATTGTTAACAACCTCAAACTCTTCTCCATCTATCATGGTGCTGCCAGTTGGCCCAGTGGTGAGAATCTTTGTCTTCTTGATACTGAGCTTTAATCCATATTTAAGACTACAGTCCTTGATCTTCTGCAGCAAATGCCTCAGGTCCTCCTAAGTTTCAGTAAGCAAGGTTGTGTCATCGGCTTAACGTAAATTGTTAATGAGTGTTCCTCCAATCCTGATGCCACATTCCTCCTCATAAATCCCAGCCTCCTGAATGATGTGTTCTGCATATAGATTGAAAAGGTATGTAAACACAACACATTCCTGATTTTGAACAATCCAGTGTTTCCTTGCTCTATTCTGAGCACTGCTTCCTGGTCCAAGTACAGGTTTCACATAAGCACAATTAAGTGCTCTGGGATTCCCATTCTCCTCAAGGTTAACCACAGTTTGTTGTGATCCACACAGTCAAATGCCTACAACTCATAGTGATCCTATAAACAACAGCTCTGAATCTTGTCCTATCTTGAGCCAACCTCATCTGACACACCTGACCCTAATGCCTCAGTCACAATGTCAGTCCATCTCATCCAGAATCTCCCTCCTCTGCACTGACCCTCCAACCCTCCCAAGCATGATGTCCTTTTCCAAGGACCAGTCCCTTCTGGAAACATGCCCAGATATGTGAGATGGAGCTTCAAAATCCTTGCCTCCAAGGAGCAATCGGATTTCATCCTCTCCAAAACAGACTTGTTTGTTCTCTTCTTAGCAGTCCATGATATGTTTAATACTGTTCTCTAGTAACACAACTCAAAGGCATTAATTATTCTTCTGCCATCTTTAGTCATTTTCCAGCCCTCAGATGCATATTGCTTTTTAAATTTATGCATATGGTTGTGAGTCATGTGCTCTGCCAATGGCTAAGTAAGGCTTGTTTCTCTAGATGGGTATATATAATTGGGTTGTTAATTTGTTAGTGGACATTTGAGTTGTTTCTGGTTTCACACTACTAGGAATAAAGCTGTTACGAATATTTGAATGTGATTTTTTATAAACGTGTTTTAATTTCTCTTGGGTCAATGCCTCAAAGTAGAATTGCTAGATCATGTGGTAAGTGTATGTTACATAAAGCTGCTATTTTCCAAATTGATGTACCATTTTGCTACCAGTAATAGATGAGAATTCTAGTGGCCTCATATCCTCATCTATACTTACTATTGTTGGTCTTAATTTGAGCCAGACCAGTGAATGTATTCGATATTATACACTGCATCTCATTGTGGTATGTGTTTGTATTTCCTCAAGAGATAGAGCATCTTTCTGTGTGTTTATTGATCATTTGTATATTTTCTTTAATAGAATGTCTGTACAGAGCTTTCTCAATTTTCAGCTGGCTTATTTTTATTATTGTTAGTTACCATCAAGTTAATTCCAACCATGGCCACATCATACATTAGAATAGAACTCCTCCGTGGAATTTTTCTTGGCTTATCTAACAGAAGCAAATCATT